ACATCTGGATTGGGAGCGCAAGATTGCTTTTTAGAGTCACTATATAGTGACTTATTGGATATAAGCCTTATAGCCTTATTAGATATAAGGCTTTCCCTAGTTCACTTAGTGGAAGAAAGTTGTTAAAAGACTACAGTATGGTATGACTTGATAAAGAAAAGCCATTTTCACTGCAAACAGGCCGACTGCTTTCTAGATGTTAGAATTCACAAAACCAATTCATCTGAGCCTTCTCAAAATACATGCTTTTAACTTACCAAATACTGTTTTGTATGGTCAATTATATATAGAAAAGGGTTTAAAGAGGCATAAAATAAAACATTGTACCATATGTTAATGCTGTATTGTCATGGTTTAACCCCAGCTGCTAACTAAGTCCCACACTACTGCTTGTTCACACTGCAGCCAGTGGGATAGGGAGGAGAATTGGAAAAAGGGTAAATCCCATGTATTGAGATAAGAACAGTTTAATTATTTAAATAAAGTACAATATAATACTACAACTGATAATAATGAAAAGGGAAATAACAAAAAGAGAAAGATAAAACTGAAAAAAAATCCAACCCCAAAACAAACCAGAAACTGACAAACAACAGTGATCCACACTACAATTGCTCAGCACGCACTGAAGAATTAACTCTGGAAGTTAATTCTGAAGTTTCTGAAGAAAATGAACTCTGTTACAGCTGAAACCAGGACGTATGTCCTCTGAATGCTCGGAATTGAAAGTACAAGATTTTTATCCCTAACAGAACAGAGATCGGAAGCAGCAAGTCATTTCATCACATACGGTGGCATACCTAAGATAAATCTATGTTATTGTATATGCCAGTTTACAGAAATGTAAGTGTAAAAATATTCTAAGTCAAACAGCAGCTGAGTTCTTGCACCAATCTTGACTTGGACCATAGCCCTTGAGTGTCTAATTTGTCTCTAATTTTAACAATTTCTCATTTCATTTTTAGCCAAATGAAATTTAAAACATTTTGCTACAATAGTTCTTTCTCTTCTTCTCCTTTATAAAAGTGTTTCTTAAACTTGAAACTCTATCAGCTGTCCTTTAATTGTTTTTTTCTAAAAGGTGCTTAAACCAGCATGTTCTTTTGGTGGTTTGCGTTTTAAAAAAAAAAAAAAAAAAAAAAAAAAGACCCAACACAAAACAAATTGTCCAATGACAAACTATAGAATCATAGAGTGGTTTGGGTTGGAAGGGATCTTCAAAGGTCATCTAGTCCAACCCACCTGCAATGAGCAGGGACATCTTCAACTAGATACGAGTTTATATAATTTATATATCTCCACTACTAGTCTTACTAACAAACATGTGCCTTATTCTTGAAAGCTCCTGAAAGAATATCCTGTTGCTCTTTAAATCAGATTTTTAATTTTCAAAGAAATTGTTTGTGTTTGAATATTTCAGAAATACCAAATTTGCAACTTGTTCTCCAGGAGCCTCAGCAGGGAGCTGTGATGGTCGCAGAAAATGCAAAGCAGGTAATTATTAAGCTGCTGAAATAAGCTAGAATTAAAATAGGTCAAGGACTGGCCTTAAAACAGTTAAGCTGTTATGGCCTTTTTTAACAATCCTCTTTGGAAGGTTATTATTAACTGGATTAATGATGAAAGACGGAAATAGCTTCCAAATACTGCTTGTACTGTCTTCTGATAAGATTGTATTTCCCTTTGCTGGCTGTGTGGAATTCCTGTGTCCTTCAACCACCCAATCCGTATTCGTGCTATTTTCTGCCTCTTATGAGTCAGTTCTTCAGCAAAACCATAGGCTAAACTGAGCTAAATCTCAGGAAATACAATTCCAAAGGTTCAGCTGCCATTATAGGATGGCAGCCAACCCTATCCATTCCCACTGCCTTGATGGGGATCTGGCAGACTTACTGGAGGAAGCCGAGTTCCCTTTGTTAAGTGGGAAACATGTAGACTCTGTTAGTATTCTTCCACTGTGAACAGCTGCAGGTACAACCACAGTCAGTCTTTTGGTGAGAACGGTGCAGGGTTACATACCTGCTGCTTTGCTTTATACCCAGTCAGCACGGTGTTGGAGATGACTGCCTCTGTATGTCTTTGGTAAGAACTTGTAGAATTGTTAGCTTAGAGCAAGGCTAGGGCTCTTTTCAGACTGCTCCACTCTGTTCCAACCTGCCAGCAGGGGGAAGAAAATGCTGTGTTTTATCGAATACATTCCTCTCCAACAAAGAGTTAATAGTATATATATTACTGTGAAGTATTAGGGCAAAACGTGAAATTTGGGACTCACGTTGGAACTGGAGAAGGCATTTTGAGTCAGGTCATTCTGCTTGACTTCAGACCCTTATATTTCAGCTGCCTGTAGTTGAAGTGTAAGCTAATAGATCAGCGGGTATACTCACATGCACACACATGCACATACGGTCTTTTCAAGGGCAGATATAAGCCTTTGAGCTATTTTCTAGAGCCCTTTTTATAGACAGTGGAGGTAAAGGGTTCTTCAGCATATGATTCACTTAAACCAAGGTGGGTGCTGAAAATGGGTGTCGTGGTTGAGACCCAGCCAGTAACTCAGCACCACACAGCTGCTCACTCACCCCTTCCCTAGGTGGAATGGGGAGGGGAATGAGGAGACTGTAAAGCCCATGGGTGGAGATAAGAGCAGTTTAATAACTAAAGTACAATATACTACTACTACTACTACTAATGATAATGATAAGGGAACTAACAAGGGGAAACTAAAAGGGGAAAGGAAAAATGAAGAATTACCAGCAGTGATGCCCCAATACAATTGCTCAGCACCCACTGACCAGTATCAAGCCTGACCCGAACAGTGATCTGTCCCTTCAGAGTAACTACCCCCAGTTTTTATCCCTTTGGCTAGTCTGGGTCAGGTGTCCTGTCTCTTGTCCCTCTTGGCTTAAAGAGTCAATGAATTCAACCCTGGAATTGTCCATTTCAATGTCTTAATTATAAAAAGAGCCTAGCTAAATAGCTTGCATGTAAGAATTTACACTTGGACACCTATATTGTGCATTTGTCCATCTTAACCATGACTTTAGGCCGAGATACAAGTGGATCCAAACCTGGTTGAGGGGCTTGGGTCATGTGCACAAGTTATTTCGATGCATACAATGCATTCCATTTCAGTGCTTGGAGCTTGCAAAGGCAAAGCGCTCTAGAAATTTGGGCTAGCAATTTATTTCTGACCTGTTAGTGCCTTGGACTTACATTCTAGGTATTTACAGCAAAAGTCAATTCTGAACACTTCATTTTGGTTTCAGTCTTTCCGTTGTTGGGCTGAGTAGAGTTATTTTTACTTGCTTTTTTTGGAGTGGGAGTGAGTAGCTTTTTTGGGGGGACACTACTTAGTTCTGACTTGTGGTCTCTTTTTATTCTATTTCAAGCCCTTTCCCACAGGAGCAGTACTAACAGTGCCAATTGTTTGTTGCAGTGAAAGCCAGCGTGTGCTGGGAACTAGCCGGAAGTACTGCAATTCAATCTAGGTGCACTTTAACTTGTAAATGGACTTTTCAGAATGAAGAAATTAGTAGATTAAGTCTCAGTTCTTGTATGGATGTCAACAGCAAACTAATCAATTTCCCGAGCACTTTATTCAGCATCGTTGTGTGGGTAAAAAGAGTTTGTGTCTGTGAAATAGCAAAATCTCCTCACTTTTTCTAGTGTGTTCTGTCTTGTTCAACAGTCAGGTTCTGACCTGTCTGACAGAGAAGCGGGAGACATACAGCAGTTAATAGATAGTTGTGGGGTGGTTTGTTATCTGTGTGGTGAAGCCTGGTGTAACTTTCCTAGGAAGACTCCAGATTCTTTATCTGCTGGAGTAGTGAGGCACAGTGAGTACAGTGACAAACACATGACTTCTCACCTTCGGTGCTTGGGTGGTTCAGTGAAAGGCTATGGATCTCTAGCGAGTCTCTTTGAAGCAGTAAAGGTGGGAAGGAAGTTAAGTAGAATCTGCATTCATTAATATCATAACCTGCTGAGATAGGTCTTAGTCTCTTGCTTAACATCAAAACTAATTTACCTATTTTTAAAAATACATTTCTTTAGGCATCAGAGTTACATCTAAAGTTGGGACTTTAGTTTTTAATTTAGTTGTTAGGGTTTTTTTTAGTTTAGTTTAGTTTTTCTTAAAGCTTGGCAGAGCAGCAGGCAGCTAAAATACTTGTCTTCTAATGCAAAGATCAAAACTAAGTATTTTTTCTTCAATCAATAGAACAAAAAAGTTGGACCTGAGGTGAAATTGCAAGACTTGCAGACTCTGGAAGCTCCAGCCTCTTACATAGACTGCTCTTTTACAGGTGAGGACACAGAATAAGGCATGTGACAAGAAAATTCTGGAAATCTGAGAGGTTTCAGGGACAAATCTAAGGTGATTTGGAAAGAGGATCTTTGAAGTCAAAATCTAAAGATGTATAGGACATAGAAAAGATGCACATAAGGTAGAAGAGAATATTGTAATGTGGTCTGGATAGGATATATCAGAAGAGAAGGAAGAAGTGGTTCCTGAGAAAGAAGGAGAGAAGGGTTTGGAGGAGAGTGCGTTTGTAGATGCAAAGGTTCATGTATAAGACATTGAAGAGAATTAAGATAAGATGAAGAGGCGGGTTCTTCTCTGCAAGCCAGCAAATTAAAAAACCCCCAACCAACCAGCCAAGCAAAACAAAAAAACCCAAACACAAAACCCCAACAAACCAAACCAAACCAATCTGCTACCTAGTTCACTTATCTCTTTACCTCTTCACTCTTCTATAGAGGTTAGGTATAGTGCAGACTTAGGTGATGCCAGCATGCAGCACATGCAGGAGGTTTTGCATATGCAGAGCTATTGGGGATGTCTGGTGCAATGCAGGTTCAAAATCTTTTGGTTGGTTTGTTTTTTTTCCTGTCTTTCTCACCTTGGAAACTAGAGAAGCTTCAGTCTCATCTTTTGTTTCCATTTACCTACTGACTTTACATGCAATGTGTTATGCTGGTGGTGGTCCTTTTATCACTAGGTGTGTCAGGAGTGCTGGTGAATTCTGAAGCGAAAAAGCCTTTTGATGACACTTTGATGCTCCCTGAGGTACAAATTTAATCTGGAACTAAATTTACTCTTGGTATTGTATGCATCTGTGTTTAGTTTAAAAGCCCCAGAGAGTTGTTTTATTAACATCCTGTAACTTAAAGTGGTTGTTGTGACACTGCAAAAGGTTGTAAGAGAGAACTCTGCTTTAGTGGTTCCCCATAAATTGTTTCTGCCCTCCGCAGCGAGGAATGGACTGATGAGCCTTTACAACACAAGAAGTTGACTTATTGGTGGGCTGCTGATCCATGCTTTCTGGGAAGGATTTGTGACTGCTTTTCTTTAGTTACCTGTTTTTGAGGGTGGGAGGAAAACTTAAAGTAATTATTATGATTTGGAAAAAGCCAAGCACTTTGGTGCAGATGCTTTGGCTAGTGCTCTCACTTTGAGATGGACACTGGTGAGAATATGGGCTTCTACACTCCTTTTTTT